TCACATCTTGACCACACACACACGTACACACAGACAAGATACTCTTTGTTTACATGTATACCTGTGTAAGACGTCATATGTTAATGAACTTATGCATATTCATGTAACCACAATAAAGAGCAGTGCTACGAGGGAGCAGATGAGAGCGACTGGGGTTCGAGCGGAAGGAACGGCGCTCGTCACAGTTCTCTCCCTCGTGCACGAGATCAAACAAAGAGCTCTGCTTGGTGTCCAATGTTTTTTGCTGTTGTAGTAGAATTGTCTCGTTCCAGCGGTGGGTCTGTGCCAGACAGACCCAACAATAATTCTCTTGAACTACACTAATAATCTTTTTCTGTCAGCACATTACATTTTCCATTTACTCAAAAGGTGGAAGTGCAAAGCATTCGAATCACCTGCACCGTGTCGTCTCGTTTTGCCCACACGGTCATGTCTTCCAAGGCGCTAAACAAGGAGAACTCATCCCAGGAAATCTTTTTTGAAGTAGAGTTGCCCAAGATGGCCTTCATCACCAACTTTAGCATGTCAGTCAATAGTACAGCATTTTTGACAATGATCATAGAGCGCATCCTCCTTTAATGTTGACACATATCCTCGTGGGTCACAGGGAAATTGATGGTCAGGTGTATGTTGGAGAGGTGAAGGAGAAAGAGAGCGCCAAGGAGCAGTATGAGAAGGCTGTTTCTTCTGGGAAGACTGCTGGACTTGTCAAGTATACTGGAATAAGATTAAGATTAAACATCCCAACCTCCACCCTCAACCTGCAATAATGTAATCCATATCTATTATTGCAGGGCTTCTGAAAGAAAGATGGAAAAGTTTTCTGTATCTGTAAACATTGCTGCCCAGAGCAGCGTGTCTTTCATTCTGATCTACGAGGAGCTCCTTCAGAGAACAGTGATATTTTGGCAAGATGTCTGTCCTTGTGTTTTTACAATGTAGCATTTAAGTATAAAGGATATATGTACAATAATGTAAAGTGAAATTAAACGTTTCTGTTTCTCAGGCACACATCTCATTCTCACCAACAGTGGAGCAGCAACAGAAATGTCCAGGTTGTAAGGGCTCATTAATTAATGGAGATTTCATCATCAAGTATGATGTGAAACGAGCAACAAGCCTGGGGGAAGTTCAGGTCAGCTGATGAGACAGAACTTAAAGCAGCACACAAGCAGCCTTTATCTCAGCTAAAGCACAGAATTTTGACTGATCTCAAACACTCTTATAGACAGCAGTTTTATTTATAGAACTGGAAGATGCAATCATTATTTTGCTTTTAGTCTTACGTTTACTTCCCTAGCTGTATTTGTCTGCTATACATTTCCTTGCTCATCTTGACCCAAAGTACTCTTTCCCTTCAGGCAGTAAATGGATACTTTGTGCACTTGTTTTCTCCCCCCTGACCTGGCTAGAGTCCCAAAGAATGTGGTGTATGTAATTGACACTAGTGGATCGATGCACGGAGCAAAGATTGAACAGGTAGGGGACTAATTAGAGGCAAATTACATACTGTATGCATGACAGTGTGTTCATCTCCATATATGTTTTGTAAACATATAAAGACCCGAGAATCAATGGTTGCCATTCTGCAAGACCTTCACGAAGAGGACCACTTTGGTATCCTCCTGTTTGAGCATAAGATTAGTTACTGGAAGGATTATCTTACCAAAGCAACAAAGAGAAATGTTTCTGACGCCATTGACTATGTAAAGAAAATACAGGACAGTGGAAGTAAGTATTGCTGAATTTTATATACAGTGATTTTTTTTTCTTTATTCTGCTTATTATCTGCATTATTGAATGAGTGAAAAATGGCAAAATTCTGGGTCATTGACAACTGCACAGGACTGGCATCATTCTGCTGTGTTACTGTTATATAGCTAAAACAAGCAACTCTGTCAAGTTTTGAGTGTCAGGTTGCCACTAAACATGTACAGTTGTAATCAGACGTTTACATAGTCATCACGGGCATGAATTTCATGGTAATTTTGGGCTTTTAATGACTTCTCTGAACTATTCTTTTTCTAGAGTGGATTGATTGTATGGCATACTTTAATGAAAAAAATAGACAAGTTTTAATTTATTTATGAATTTCTTTAGTCCACACTGGGGCAAAAGTATACATACACCCATTTAAATCTTGTTTTGACAAGGCCAAGACCTTTTAACTTCTTGTTAGTCATCATGACTGATTAGTTATTTGCCAGTATTAAAAAAAAAAAAAAAAA